AATACAGAATGAGTGCCCGACGATAAACTTTCGGCACAACACCGACTCGCTATTGAAATAGGTCGACCTAAAAAGATAAACAAAAACCGGGTCGCTGAAAAATCAATCGATTAACTCCTTTCAGAAATACTTCGTCAACAACCAACAGGTGGACCAATAACATCCTTAATACTAACCATTTCCATCGCTCGTTTGAATACTCGGATCCGATCTTGCGGCATGTCTGCCAGGGAATTATGGACTCAGAGAGATCAGTCCAGATCCCTCCAATTACCTAATTTGATTCCATTACATTCTAAGGAAGATTTTATTGCTCATTGCGTCTGCGATATTGACGATGAAGATTGTATAAAAATGGCTGCGAGAGATGTAATGACGGTAAGCTTTTCAACGAAATATATGAAAATAAAGATCCAATAGGTACCAATGGGAAGATGGATTCTTACAAAAGGGGAAACAATCTGGCAATTCAACTGGTGTATTTGAAGAATTAGCTATGCAGATTTTTAAGTTCAACGGGCATCTTTTTATTAAAGAAAAACAGTCTTCATCGTACCAGGACATGAAAATATTGTCTTTTAAACTTTAAGACGCATCTGAAGAATGTATCCTTCAAATGGACTTCTGAAATCTGGCAGGATGAAATTCTGTCAGCCCATTGGAAGCAGCACCAGGTGACGATCTATACCATCATGATCACTAACAGAAACAAAAAGTTATCGTATATGTGATCATTAGTGATTTTGTAAGCCACCAGAAAACGGCTGTAGCTGCATTCACATTCTCAATATTTGATATTATCATTGACAAGTTCCATACTGTTAGAACTGTAGATGTTTGGCGGATGGGCCGTCAAGCCAGTACATGAATAAGTATATATTTGCACTATTGCCACGTCTTCAGGAGCACCATGGAGTCAAAATAAGATGGAACTATTTTGCTACGAGTCACGGCATTGGACCAAATGATGGAATTGTTGATTGATTATGTCACGTTCTACTGTCATATCAGGTTCTCAGTCTTTTGCTAATGCACTTCGTTCCATTGGGAATCAATGTAATACAACTGATCGAAGATGATATATGTATAAGACAAATACAAAATGTTGGATGTTGAGTCAGTTGGGAATGGAATAGTTTAGCTGAAGTTTTTCACCACAGATCCATCAACAGGGCATGTTCCTGGCAAGTACACAAAGGAAGCAGTTGGTGGGATGAAAACTGAAATTGCACATCTTGCTAGTGGTAATATGGTGATTAAGCAGATCCTAGAATTTCTGAAGAATGGGTTATATGCGCCTCCTGTCAATCCTGGTTTCATAAATCATGTGGGCAGCAGAAGGGTATATTGGACGATTGCAACAAATTCCCGTGTAAAAAGTGTTTGTAAGATTAAGAGTGAACTTGTTAAAAATGCAATTGCATAATATGAATTTCAAATACCCTTTAGGTATGAGGACTGTTAAAAATGTTGAGTCCGTTATTATTTATTTTGATAATTTTTAATAGTATTGTTAACTGGCTTCGATCTATTTAACATCATCAACTGATTTAAAAATGTATTTCGGTTGTTGTAGTTTCTCAGTACTGAACTTATTTAACAAACGTGACGGAAATTCTTGACTCGTAGGTCCGTCACGCATGATTTAGTCTAGTGACAAAAAATTTTTTTTTGAATTTCTGCCCGGTTTCATTGGTATTTCGATCATTTGAAGTGTTACATGACAACTGATGATAATGGAGTGGTCACTAATGTAGCAGGCAAATATGAGAATGTGCTTTTTGTAAAAGGGCTATGTCATAGGAATTGACGTGGTCGTAGGTTACTGTCAACCAGTGGTGAACCAGGCCCTCTTTCAGCATATCCAATGAATTATCATTTTTCTTGCCCTTAAGTTGATCAAATACCACAGATATATGATTTACGTTTCCTTGTTTGTAATTGTAATATAACGTCTGATATAATGCTTTCCTCAGACTTGCTTAGCTTCTATCTGTAACGATTTCTTTCTTTTTGCAGTGCCGTCCATTGATGATCTTCCTTATACTTGTGCCATATTCTTTCTCTCCTAACTTAACATCGCTGTTCTTTGACATCGCATTTTTAGCATATAAGCACTCGAGCTGGCACAATTCGAAATGGTTTTTGACGAAACTTGGTGTGAGTGTTTGTAATCACCCAAGGATGAACCCTATTGAAAGTCAGAAAAATCGGACAATATTTAGTTTAAGTTACTGCCCTTGTTCTTGACAACGCGTTCCATTTATTTAGCTCGTAAACACCCTAGAATTAGAAGGTACCATTCTCGGTGTAAGTGTTTGTAATCACCCAAGAATGAAGCCTATTGAAAATAAAAAAAATCGAAAAATATTTATTTGAGTTCTTGAAAACGACCGAGGGTTCAATATCTCGTACTGGTGATTGTTGCCGTACTGATTAAAATATTTTTTATTCGAAATCAAAGCTGCCAGTCCGGTGTGACGAGGCTATTAATAGTGTGATAAATATTTGTGTTTGGGATAGTGCTTTGGTTTAAAAAAAAAATTATGTTCAGTTAGTACTTAGTAATTTGATGTATCTGGAATATTGCTTTTTATTTATAAATAACTGACAGTAAATTGATGAGATACTAATATATTTAAAAAAAAAATTAATTGCAATTACATTACATTGTGTATGTTAGTCACTTGTTGCTGACAGCTGTCCGTGTTCTTATGTTTCCTTAACTGGAAAACTATATCCACTACTCGACTTTGCGATTGGCAGAACTGGATTTTCAATGACTGATAGCAACTGGAAGCATTTCGGAGAATCTGATTAACGTCGGCCTCAGAAACAAACTAGTAAAAAATGACTTTGGCTTTGTTATCCTTCAGTTGCCGATGATTTAATTTCAAGAAAACCTTTTTCGTCAAACTTAGCGGCAGCCATCCAGTTGATACAAATACTTTGTCAAATTGAGCGTATTGCTGTCGACCCAAGTCCAGCTATTCTGATAACTTGCAACATGTACTGAACACCAAAAGAAACTTAACAACTTAAAAAGTGAATTATGACCAAAAAATATGGTTTGGAACTTATCCATCCAAATAACTTTGAACAAACACAACAATAACGTTTATTGGGTGGGAAAATCTCAAGACAGTTAAAATCACGTGCACCAATGGTAAAAAAAAACCAGGTTGAATGGTATGTCGGGCCTACATAACGATACAAAAACACTTGAAGAATGCGATGACTAATACAGCAACAACGTGAGCAAGCTCTGGGAATGGTACGGGTGGGAGCAACCCATGCCCACATCGCTAGGACTGTCGGTTGTTCAAGAGTTACTATAACACACTTGATGCAAGGTTACAGGGCACACAGCAAACAGAACATGGTGACCACACAACGTGACCACACAACGTGATGACCTTTATTTGCTACCTTGCATCTCTGGAATTTCTTTCTGACAGTAACATCATCAGCGATCTGTTTATTCAGAGACAATAAGAGGCAGGGGGTTAATAGCCGAAGTTGTAAACTGGCAGTGGTATGCTGCGTTTAATAGGTGGTACGAGGGTCCGTCATGGTGTGGGGGTGGGGTTTGCGGACAGGAGAGGACTCTTCGGTAATGGCAACTTGACAGCTCTTCGTCCGTCCGACAGTCATTTATCCCCATGACAACGCTCGACCCTATAAAACAGCTCTGGTGTACCATGGATCGTCGTGCCCCAGCGACAACAACCGCCAGTCAATCACCAGACCTTGTACTCACTATTTCTATATATGTTTTTCTATATATCAAAGTATCTTAAAATGACGAGTTTTAACATTCAAACGCGGATAGTTCTGCACGCATGGATTTGAAGGCTCAAAATTTCGACGGTTTGCTGTGAAAACTATTATTGATTGGCTAAGCTAAAACAATTCCCATTTATGAGCATTGGGCAGGATTGGTTAAAAAATGGCGCATCTGTCAGTAAAACTGTTTTGCATAAGATCTTAGACAGTCATTTTCAGTGCTATTTTATATTTCTTGGAGCACCAGTAGGGGTAAGTTTAAGAACTAGTAAGTAAATTTATGTTTGTTTTTCATGAACAAGGGCAATAACTCTTTTTATATTATTGATTTTTAAAAGGGTTCGTCCTGGGTGAAAATAAACAATTTCATTAAGTTTCAGCTATTTCAAATAATATAATATTTTATGTCATGAATGGTTCTTCTTACAAGTTAGAAAATTGAACCCGTCTTCAAGAACAAGGGCAATAGCTCATATTAAATATTTTACGATTTGTAAGCTTTTCAGTAGGTTCATCCGTTGGAAAGAATAACCCATTTCACTAATTTTCGTCAAAATCAGTCGACAATAATTGTACCTACTAGAGTGTTTACGAACAAAAGTTAACTCATTTCAAGAACAAGGTCAAAAATTCATATAAATATTTTTCAATAGGATGGATCATTCGATGATAATACTTACGTCAAAAGTCGTCAAGAATTGAGCCTTTTAGAGTGTTTATGAGCAATTGTGGACGGACCGACAGACTAAGGGACCGACATGGGTGACGCCAATATACGCTTCACATTTCATGTGGGCGTATAAAAATTAAAAAAGCTTTTTTTGCTGCCATCTTGAATTTAACAATCTATCTAATTTTAAAATCCGAAATAATATTCTATGCAAACTTTCTTAAAGAAATATTTTTTTTCAACCATGCTGGTAATGAACAAATTTATAACATTCAACAAGAAACGAAAAATCATTGACTCACATAAGCTGTGTACAAAAAGAGCTCTAAACACAAAACGAATATATATGTATATACCGTTACTGAACAAATTAAAAATGTATTAAAACTATTAATACTAATAATAATATTCTTAAATATCAAAAATATTATTTGGAATGTAGTAAAATAATCTCACGAAGGCGGCTTTCGGTTAACCCCAAAAATAGAATTGAAGTTACGGTTAGAATAAAAAGAAATAAATGGGATAACACCCTAGAAATAGTTCATAAGTCCGGCTTAACGATTGGATTACTCTTGATAGCCTTACTAGAAGTTTGTTTATATGGTTGACTAGCAAGAGGTTCTAATGCTAACATCAAAGCTGCCAAATAGGCACAACCACCAACAAAATGATACGATGCTATATAAGTACCAGTTGTATCTCGTAATGCCCCTGAAATAGATAAAAAAAATATTATTGCTATTTTCGAACGTGTTAATAGTGGTAGCTGTGTGGAAGCGCTCAGACAAAAGCTTCCCATAGAACGTCTATTGAAATTCTCCCTCAAGAAAATTTTTGAAAATGAGAATCAATTTGATGCATTCTGACACATATTTTGGGACAAAAAAAATTATAAATATCATACATTTAGATTTGGAATAAATCAAGCAAATCATTTGTCCAAACCCCTGAGATAACATTCGACTTGACTGAATTGACTCCTGATTTATGCTAATCGGGTCTAGTTTTCTTGGATTTACAAGTAGATAATCACAAACGAATGGAATGATGCAGTTTAAAGATAAAATTACCTCCGATAAACATGCATAACTTAGACAAAATTTCCAATCCATTTTAATTAACAGTTATCTGTAAAGTTATTATTTCTGGTTTTACAGATCCACGTCCATGCATTATGACAGAGAAATCAGCAGCATATACATTGCAATTTGTTATACCCTGACGAGCTGACTGTCTTGTAACCAGTTCAGCTTAATATAAAAATATAAATCTATTCTTATTGAAATGATGTGATAAGTATGAGATACCAATCCTGTGAAGAACAGAAATGAAATGAACCTCCATAGTCTATATCTCACTTACTACCAATTAGTACGCATACGAATATTTCACCGGATCTTAACGGGCAGTAGCTTATCTAAATCATAAGCTCAAACCTGCGTCACTGAAAAAAAAGCGGGCATTACTTCGACCGAGACCTCTAGGTTGCAGCCGACCTCTCCGAGCCAGATAAAAGATAAGGTACTATACTTACCAAAAATCGGATACATAAGCACACTACTTAGTCCCCCGTACAATTGAACAAATCCAAGCACAGTACTTAATTTTGATAAGCCTAGTATATCTATTATTGTTACCGATAAGAGCGCGTAAAATGCTCCAGAAAAGAGACCTAGCACTACTGTTAACACTACAAACGCATCAAAAGATGCACAGAATCTTGTACAGTGACACGCTGTTCCGATTATAACCAACGTGATTAAAACAATGTTTTGTTTCTTTATCCAATTTCTATCAGCGATCAATCCGACAAAAAACCGACTAACAAAATCTACTACAGCTAAAATAATTAAAAGTTGGGACGATTCGTCGTTAGATACACCCATTTCCTTGCATAAAGGTGGCAAAAGGAGGCCACCAACGCTTGATCCTACACCACCGAAAAACGTGTATCCCATTATAACCAAAAAACGGAGGTCTTTAAACAATTGAAAGTCAAAAGCTTTCAGCATTTTAAAAAGAGCTAATCTCACAGATGAAAGTCGCGACTGTTTATTGGAACCAAGCTGATCGGGTTCAAAAGGATTTTCTCCTTCTTCCATGTTCAAAGAACTACTAGCAATCACAGTCATTTCTTTGTCTATGCTACCACTTGAAGAAATCTGCATGTCCTGTTTCGTTGGAGGAAGTTCTTCGTTAAACTGAATTTCGTGGGGTTTTAAGGGTCTTAATAAACACCCACAGGGAATGATATTCAATAATATTGCACCATAAATAAGAAGAGCTCCCTGATATCCTTCTTGGTCTAATAGGTATCTTAACACTGGAGCAAAAACCATTAACCCAAGACTAGATCCACATGTAGCCAGTGAAGTCGCAAAAGATCGATGTTTTCTAAAATATTGACTCATCATTACAAAAGGAGGACTGAACACAATACCATGAGCCATACCTGAAAAGATAACAAGGTGAAGTCAGATGAACTGTTTATGTTTATCATCACCTCTCGACAAAAACGGTCTAACTGTTTGCTTTTTGTCGAATATTCTTAAGAGCTACTGCCAAGATGAATGTACAAACGCTATAAAGTTGTTTTTCTATAATTTAAAACTAAATATGCGTCAATCCGTAATATGCGTTCAAAAAGGACTCTGCACATAGATACTGCAAGGCTTTGGCTAGTTTGTGTCAAAAGCTCATTTTTTTTTTAATTTTCATATTTTCATTTTAGTACCTTGACTTTTGCTCATCTTACTCTTTGGAGGGTCAAGGTCATCGATCTGAGATATCAAACAATACTTTCATATTTGCTATACGATTCTTACAGTGACCAAATTTACACATAAGCAAAGTCCCACTGTATGCCGCTCATGTCTCTTATTATTGTTTATAATACAGTATGCGTTGATTTACTTGATATGTTTTAGTCTTAACACAGAGTTGAAATTGATATTTGATCGATTTAACGTCGAAGAGCTAACACACAGATAAAGTTTCGCTTTTAAACAAAACCTTGGTATGTTTATACTTAGAGCTATGCCATTCTAGATTATTCGATGTACGCTATCATCATTTACCTTACCTCTAAAATTACACATCCTTGAGGAATATTGGAAGATAGCTTGCCAGGCAAGGTAATATACACCCACTGGAAGCTTTGATTTAAATAACAATATTTGACAGTACAGTAACAATTACTAGTTGGAAATATTCAACCTTCAATCTTACACTTGTTTTGATACTGTATAATATTACCAAGTTTCGTCAAAATCTGGCAAGAATTGGGCCTTCTAGAGTGTTTATGGGCAAAAACTTGAACGCGTTTACAAGAACAAGGGCAATAACTCATACTAAATATTTTCCGATTTTTCAATAGGGTTCATCCTTGGATGAGAACAAATACTCACACCAAGTTTCGTCAAAATCAGTCAAGAATTGTGCCTTCTAGAGTGTTTACGACCAATTGTGCACGGACAGACCCATGGACATGGGTAACGGCAATATATTTCATGTTGGCGTATAAAAAATTACATTTTATGTATCTATCATAAAATTTAACCTACACACCTGCAAATATACATTCCGTTAATATCACATACGACATATTGGTTGCAAAGACTTTTAATAGAACACTAAGACCATATATAAATCCACCAAATATTATAACTACACGAACTGAAACAAATTCTAAAACCACACCATGTACTAAAAATGCTGAAAGGAAAAGACATCATAACATAGTAAAGCAAACGTCCATAACATTAAATGCCAAAATGAAATCAATGCTAACAACGGTAATAAATATCCAAAATAAGTTATATGTACAAGTTATCTTCTAAGGATGACCAAAAAATTTATTGATTAACTTGGTCTCTGTGGACTTAAATAGTGTCAAAACTCTACCACAGAATGCCTCCATAATCCAATAAAACTAAGTAAAAATTTATTAAACTAAGTACTTTTGAAACATGCCTTGAAGCATGTTTCAATAATTATTTAGTTAAATGGACACATCGTACTTATATAACCTCAACTCCAGTATCAGCACTGCAATGATGAGGCCCGGAAGGCCGAACCAGTTCTGTTTGCAGTTAGATATGCTCCTTGATTCTCCTTGTTGAGCACTCTATCCGGAGTGTACCATTGTCGTTAGCGTGTATGCGTAGCTCACTAGCTTGCTAGTTTGAGCACTCTGGCATGGTGCGATGATACCACATATTTATGCTGGTTCTTCTGAGTCGGCTATAAAGCCAAACCTCAACTTCAGTATCAGCACTGCACTGACGACGCCCAGAAGACCGAAACAGTTCTGTTTGCAGTTATATCGTTCTTATATATAGATTCTATTCGTTAATCAAGATAAAGGGCAATAACTTTATAGGCTGTAATAATTTAAAGCTGCAAGCTTATGAAAATGTAACGATATGCATTTAAAAGTTGTAAAACGTAAAATTTCGAAATGTTGCCCAAAAGCTCAAAATGTACTAATTTTCCATCATGACCTTCGCTTTAAGTATATTTCATTTGGAATCTATTATTTACATGTTTATGTATAGATATATAATTAAGGGACAAGGGAAATTACTCCGTTCCTTATCCTCGGAAATATCTTAATATCTTTCATCATTTGAGGAGCATTCGGTATGCACTCGTACATTTAATGTATTTGCCTTCTACATCTTGTTTAATAACTGTGTATCTTACCGGAAATAGATTGCACAACACTTCTGAACCCCATAGTTGATGACGTCATAGTAGCTGAAGCACCAAACCTTTCTTCAAATTCCACATAAAGTATTCCAAATGTTCTTACATAGCCCATTGATAATACCATTATAATAAAACTGGCTAAAATTTGATATAAAAATATGATATGATAGATTTGTATATCATAAATACAAGTAATCTTAAAGGCAAGAGCTGGTTGGGAACTGGGGGTTAGTTTGCAAACATGTTTTTCCTATATGTTGTAGTCCCAAAGGCAAGGGTTTTCAATTACTCTATTACTCCCTTCAGTAGGCTATCCTTGATCAATTGCATTAACACGCCTCCCCTTATGAATCTGTACTAATTCGTGATTTTCTACTAGGTGTTCCCCGCAATCTTTTTCATGTTGGGGAATATTGCTTGGCTGAATAGGACGTCCTTAATGAAAATTGTTCAGTTGACAGTTGGGTTATTATTAAGAAGTCCATATTTATTCAATCACTTATAGGACATATTGTCTTATCTGAGAAAAGGAATGATTAAGACTTAAAGAAATCTGCAGTGAGCAAATGGTTTGCGCCTTAAATAAAGTGGTGGTAGCACTGAACATGTAGTGTTTCACCTACAGCTTACTACCCACTGTTCCATTGACACCCCCTAACTGAATGAATTGATAAGCTTACCAAACATAACTACCCACGCCCATCCTTGATCAATTGATGATTTATTTCTTTTAGATTTGTTTTGTTGGAGTAAAGTTGATTGTGGTTCTTTTGGTTCCATGGTTAATTCTAGGTCTTAACGATCTAACGTAGTACAAAATATTCAACCATGCATCATCTGAAATTGAAATGAAATGGAACATCGCGTTCGATTTTCCACACTTGAATTGGACAATAGAGACCATGCCGTGCACATGACACAAACATTGCCAGGAGAACTACATTATCTCCCATCCCTCAACTTTTTTTTTTTACATAGGAAGGGTGCTTTATTTACAGATGTGTGCCTGTAATTTACATGACGATGCGTACACATGATCTTATCACCAATGTTACCTTCTATCCTGTTACCTATCTATCTATCTTTACGCCACGATACACGTTATTGATTCTAATATAGAAATTACTTCTGTTCTGCTATGTAATAAAGAATAACGTATGAACGAGAATGGCAATAACGGTTTGTCTAATAAATAATAAAAATGGAGTGGAAATGAAATAAAATGAATGGAGTTTTATGTCCTACATTTCTGCACCATGTTTGATAATGAAGACAGAAAACGCCATGAAGGGTGCAATGAAGGACATTTTGCCAGGATAGCGGCATTATCCTGCTCTTTTTTTAAGGATCTTTAACGTGCGTAGTCTGTAGCACACGGGGCCTCGGTTTATTGTCCGCATCCGAACGACTAGACGGTTTTTCCATGTCAGCCTCTCTTACCTGCATCACTGACAAGGGGGGAAACGGGTTGAAAAATCCGAAGGTATTGAACCCTGGACCCTCAGGTTAGTGAGCAAGCGTCTTCACTCACTGAGCCACCGCGGCTCCGAAAAATAGAGTGGAGATGGATAGTCCGCTATATGAAAACACAAAACGAAACAAATGTAAGCTAAAAATATATAAACGAACCCAAATGACAGTGTAAATATACATCCTAGTGCAGCTGATCACGTAGTATAGTTGTGCAAAGTAAATTTCGACACTAGTAAGATTAGCCTATCACTAAGAGTGTTATAAATACGAGGTCGTGTAAGACATAATACATTATTCTGTGCATGACATATTTTGTAAAGTTCACTATCTTCACTTAAAGATCAGAGCCCTGATAAGATAAAGCACATAAAAGATACCGGCATACATGTATTAACATCTATGGGATATAAAATACGTTGATACCGCTGCTGAGCAGGAGAGTTTATTTTGAATATTCCTGCTTGTGAGAAGACCCTTGAGCGCCGCATCCGCCGGTTTCTTTTCAGCCAGAAACTGCTTCTTGTGCCGATTGAAGTCGCCACTTTATAATCCTCAAAAAACTGTTCTATATGATACCTGTCACGTAAAATGGCCTGATATAATGCATATTAACTTTTAAATAATAATATACTTTTAATGAAGGAAATCCGTTTTAGCCTCTTTAATTATCTGATTTTCTTTACTAGCCTTTTCAGCTTTGTTAGAAACTGGTTAGCTGAAAAAATCTGATTATCCAGTTGGTTTCAGCTGCAAGCCAGTCAATTTTTACAAAACAAATCATTAACGTGAAGCAGGAAAAACGCAGACTAAAAAATAGAAACCGTGATTAAATTTCGTACAAACCATTTCAACCAAACCAACTCCCAAAATTGCGCACAAATGAGCCGCAAACCGTACAAATTCATACTTGCTAATGCATTGCCTTAGATTTTAATTTAATTCCATTCATTTCAAGATATACCAAAATGTACTTTAGATCAACAGCAGTTTCACCATTCAAGGACAGTGGCAATAGATCTACCTCCCATTATAAAGCGCCAAAAATCAACGCCTTATAATCTTTTTTAATGTTTTGTAAACCAATACGAAGTTGCGATCGTTTAAAAACTTCATTTGAGAGCGTGTATGAAGGAATATGATCGGATATTATGTCAACATGTGCTTAGATGTAGGCTAATAAAATTGTTTTGATTTTAGTTTCATGTAACTATCATGCGCCAGAATTTGTAAAGTTACTCATCAGAGTTTCTAGATCAGTTAGAAAATCATTACGCTAGTCTTCCAAGCTAGGCGCACGATTAATGATTCGATCTTACCTTCGCTTCAGAATATGGTAATATAATAATAGTAAAATTCTAATGTAACCATCACATCTGTTACACTTACACTTAGTGTGCTATCGATATTCAATTCTTTTTTATTTTGCAGTGCGTTCGTCGAACGCTCGACATGAAATTTCGAATTCTCCTCACGACGCACAGCCAAAAACTACAAATGCCTGAAATGAACTGTGGCTATTTTCTGTTGTAAACTGGTGGACAGTTTTCAGGTCAATGTAAATTGGCGCTATTTTGACTAGTTGCTTTTTTTCAGTTTTTCGCTTTTTTTTTCTTTTTTTCCAACCGATTTATATCGAATTTATTTGTCTGTTATTTTGAACTGTTGGCTTCACAACCGCAGTTCAAAACTGTTTATCTTTTCTCACTGACTTTTTGAGTTTCAATTTTTGAGGTTTTTTCAACTATTTTGATCGATCAGAAAAACTACAGACCGATAGATAATTTGAATGCAAACAGAAATTCCGATAATTTCGATACCACTTCCGGTTTTGACGTCATTCGCTTTCAAACTAGAATATTCAACTTCTGTAATGTTGATGTCTATGGAATCTACTATCGAAGGCTAAAACATATTTGAGAACCGATTTTTTTAATTTGATTTTTATTTTATTCCCGTTTATGAAAAATTCGAAGGTCGTATATCTAGACCTTGACCTTTGGTGACCCTGTGACTTTAACAGATTTTGTAGCACTCGGCGAGATCAATCCAATGGTTTATTCAATTTAGTTGTACGATTGGACAAAAATTCTCTTGATCTGTATTATGCTTGCCATTTTCTTTCTATCAAAGAAACGATGTATAACATTGGATAATTTGAAACAAAAATGTAATTTTGTTTAAAACATTAAATTGAAAGTGTTAAGAGACCTTATAAAGAATACAATGTGAGTTTAAGTGATCTGTAAAATATGATAAGATATTAACCCAACAAGTATGGCTGAAAACACGCGCGAATTATGACCACGTTATCAGTTGCACGTAAAAAACACACTCTGGCCACTATAGTGCCACACAATTGATTCGATCAATCTTCCTGCAAAAAGGGCGGATGTTATCGAAAAGACAATACGTGACAATTACTGTTTGAACACACAATAAAGGGTATATATGTACATATTAACATCAGTATGTATGTTTCATTGAACGATTCACAATTTTATTCATTTATGTAATGATATATCAGCAAGATTGATATTTTTAATGGACTGCATCTGTAGATGTAACTTACTAAGATAGAAAAGTGCTGCAGTAAACACTTATTAATTACTAATTAATTAATAATTGTCCTAATAATTGAAAGTAAAAAAAAACTTAAACTGTGAACGGCTCTGATTGTGTCACGAGAAGTAATCCCTTGGCTTTTGAACCCTTTGCAACTTTTAGCCATTTATCCCCGGTTCTCCGATCATACTCATTTGTTTTATATTGTTTTTTACATTTTAAGCAGGATATGAAACATGATATTTTGGCTTTATGACCTCATCACCAATGTTATGTTAGTGTCGGATATTTACTTTGCCTATTTACGGAACGGCACACGTTTTTGATAATAATAATGAAATTATTTTCGTTGAGCTACACAAAATAAGGAAAATCCTACCTTACAGAAGAACGTTTAGTGGTCGAATTCTGATATAAAATATACATTGTAAAGCACATCCCGTCTTCATTTTGTGTCTTGTCAGTTCGCCCCTATATCATTTCTATTTCGCCCCATTTTATTTTGCCCCTTTCACATATCACCTTTCCCAATTGGCGACTTTCGAACTTTAAAATTGGCCAAATCCAAAATTATGCTGGTTCCAGGGTCGATTTCAGGTCGAGGCCAGAAATACTTCTTAGAGGAGATTTAGACCAAAAAATCATGTAGATGAGACGATACCATTAAAGATCTCGAGTTTGAATGCGATAAAATCTCTCACGGAAATGACAAAGTACCGTTACATTACAGAAGGGTGGGCAAATCATGAACTTCAACTAAAACTTTCCTTGATATGGATATACCAAAGAGGACATGACCATAACAATGAACTATGATGTACTGATAATAAGGTCCAAAACATCGTTTTTTTTTCATTAGATCTGATCATTAATTACGATAATAAGTATTTTTTTTCTGTACAATAATCATTCAATATGGCCAATTAACCGATACAAATATATTTGGTATAAGTAAGCTACATCGTAAAAAAGAAGATTATACACTGACAAATACATATCACCATAGATAAAAAGGTAACCAACAACATAACATATATCCTTTTTACTCACTGTCACGGCTTGTTTTTACTTTCGGACAAATTAAACCATTTTGCCCATATTTATAGCTCTCTCACTAAAATTACTTACACCATTTATCATTATAATTTTGAAAAGTGTTAGTTTTGGGGAAGGAAAGGTTTTATTCTCCAAGTCGAAGTTGAAACAATGCCTCATTGAGAATATAGGTGTTCTGGATTGACCGTGTAGTTTTCTTCTGTAAATCTCAGTTTCTTACATTTGATCTCGGATTAGATGAAATAATAACTCTCTCGAGGCGAAAGATCAGTTTGTTATAATATACTGATTGAATTTAGTTTACTATATCATGCAAGTTCTGGATACGGCTGAAGGATGGTTGATCAACACCTGCGTCACCTTAGAGAGCCATATCAAATTGAGGGATCTTATATGTACCGCTTTTAAGATTGAAGTATCTTCACGTTCTGAAATGTCTTTCAAGCAATTGAAAATTAAAAATAAAGTTAATTATGTTATAAACTGCGTGAGCATGTCTTTATTCAGTATTATTCTGGCAGTCAGTTTTCTGTGAAATCAGTTACACTGATAGATCTATAGCTGATCGGACTGAACTGGTAGAAAAATCAATAGCCATAGCTCTCAATTCGGATGATACTGGAATAGTAGACGTATCAGTAACCGGAGCTGTAAGGTCAGATTGAATTGATGTGGTAGCCGTATCAACA